CAAAAACTACTGACTGCTCAGTATAAGAATTGTTTATTGTTATGCCTGACAATGAAGATGAAAGTGGGGAGGAGGAAGGAGGAGGAGGAGGAGAAGGAGGAGGATAATGATGATGGAAGTGGTGGTGGGTTGATCTGTTGGTTGTTGAAATGTCTTGATGGTAAGATGATGTTGGAAACTGCCTACTAATTGTATTTGACAGTAGCAGCAGCAACCACAAGACTTCTAGTACAATGTTTATATGGGAATATTCAAGTACAATTTAAACCAAATCGGTTGCTGAGGCCACACTGATCAATTACTAAGTGTTCTTGCATTCATCAACTATACAAGAGTGTAACATTCTGCATACAAGGAGATTCACAAACTTTTCAAAGTGCAGAGAAATTTAAAAAAAATAAAAAAAAAAAAAAAAAAAAAAAAAGAAGAAAAATGCATGTAAACAAGTTAATAACAAAGATAAAATGGTCCTTCCTTTAAATTTAATTTCAACAAGCCTTTCTTCACAATTTATTCAGTGGATAGTTCGATGTGTGTGTGTGTGTATGTGTGTGTGTGTATGCCTGTTCAAAACTGTGTATTCTTTAATGGATGAGCACATAATGTGGACTTACACAAGGCCTACACAAACATAACTACACACACAAAAGGATGCATGTAAGAGAATATGTATTTAGTTTGGTGAGGTGCAAGCAGAGCAATGGGGTAGTTTTCAGAACCCAATGCAAGAAATTGTTACCATATTAGCTACAACCTGCAGAAAGATAATGTTTTCATTCAGTTCACAGTCAGTTCTGTCATCTCAGTGCGCATACGTTGTGCGATTCTGCTGCCTCCCTTTGTTGGGGTCCAATGTCAGCAGTTAGAAACATTAAGTTTTCTAATTTGTTTTTTTTTTTTCACTCAGTGAATGTAACAATTGAGCATGATCTTGAACAATCTAAACTTTACTAATATGAAATTGGTTGCAATGTTAAATGGCAGTGTGGACTGAGATAAAGAGCTATTTGCCTTAAAACCACTCCAGAATTTTATATCTATAATTTTTATTTTTTGAAAGTAACTAGCAGTGGAATGTATTTTACCATAAAGATTTATCAGACTGAATACAGCACCATAGGTTAAAGATAGTATAAGGAGCAGCAGCAATCCTTCCAGCTTAAAAATAAAATCTACTGACAAAATTAAACAGAAAAAAAAAGAAGAAAAATATGTCAATAACCTTCTTGTCACATATCATTAAAGAAAATTTCAACTGAGCAGTCAAAAGATATTGTCTTGATGGAATAAATACTTTTTTAAAAGAGAGAAAAAAAAAGGAAGAATAAAGAAAACACGGACGTTTAATATAAAGAAATTTTCATTTACAATGATTTAATGAATCCCAGATATTTAATTTTGTTTAGAGAGAATAGTTTGAAGGGTTTTGTGAAAAATCCTGACAGAAGAGAATAGCAGAACTAGAAAGACAGAATAGACATTGCTAAAGAATAGAAAAGAGAAGGAAAAGTACACAGAGTGAAATGGCCTCTATAGTAGAATGATCCATTTTTGAGCAATTCAACAGCTACTATATAAATGCGATGTTGCTGATAAAACTGGTGTGGATTGAGTTAAAAATTAGATGGGTTGCTGTATATTCTACATGGAAAAATGTAGAGAATACATGCACAGTGCCAACTAAAAGTGGGATGAATTTGGACAAAACTGAAGAATGGTAAAACTGATAATAGTACAGAATTTGCAAATATCTGGACATGAACTGATTTAAAGAATGACAATGGAACAGTAAATTTATTAGAGATAGCATCTGGAAGCCCTTTTGATTAACTCATGTACAGCAATTAATTTGACTGACAAATGAGAAAAAGAGCATTTATTAGCTCTAAAAAATAAATTAAAATTATTTACACAAATACCAAGCAAATTGTTTTTCCACAAAAGCTATAAAACAGAATAATTCCCAATTTACATTCATTTATTTTTGTGTAAATATAAATTCAAATACGTTAAGTTAATATTTAAAAAAATAATAAATTAAAGGAAAAATAAAACTGCAAATGTCAGATGTGGTTGTATGAAGAAAGTGAAGAGATGGTCTTAAAATGGCTTGAGTTAGTAACATTCAGTAGTCCCCCCCCCCGTCACCCCGTCTCCCCAAAACCTCCAGAGTGCCTAATTTACATCAATCAAAAACCAATTCACGCTTGTTGTAGTTTAAGGTAACATTATCCTATCAAGGGTCAATAATTGTGAGTTGATAAAGTGTTGATCTGAAAGTGATATCACTTAAATTTCCAAAGCTGAGTGAATAACAGCACAAGTGATTGAATATCATCTGGTCAACCAACCAATGATCAGCATCACAAAAATAGGTAAAGTCACTGAGAAGTATTCCACCATTTTTCTGAGTTGCAGAGTTTTGGTTTCTTGCATACAGGCAAGAATGAAAACTGGTGTACAGAACTGATTAGAACATCTAGCAGTATTTGATTTTAAAATGTACCTATCAAAATATGTTAAAGAGTCATTATGAATATCAGGAGTTGTAAACTGCCTAAGTGAAATCAAGATTAGAAGCAATGATAGAAACTTATGGGGGAATAAACAGCAACTCAGATGTAAATTGGCAGCATTAATTAAATACAGATATCAGTGATTTTAGGATAATCAACTCCAAGGATATCATCATCCATAATTCAATATGAATTAAATGAAGCAAAACAAAAAAATAAAATAAAATTTGGATGAAATAAATGAATCAAATGTCACATTAGAAACATGAAAGAATAACAAGAAAGAAACTGATGAATAAAAGTTCTGTAAAAACACGAAACAACAGTTACAGGAAGCATTTGAATAGAATTCATAACCAGAGAGCAAATCATTTCAATCCTAACAAGTGATCCAACTGGTCAGGGTTGGCACCACACCAATTGACCTTCACTGCTCAAATTCTTCAACTTCTGAAAAACAGCTGATACTTGGCTCTACTACTGTCATTCTGCATAGATAGCAAACAACTAAACGAAGTACATTTAGTGTACTGTACCTTGCAGGAGAAGTGATGGAGGGGGAAGATATAAGACTTAAGCTAAAAAGTAGACCGAGAGCATCTAACCTAATATCAATATCAAATTTAAAGTGAATTGAAATAAACTAATTCAAAAAATATCTACATTAGTTTTTCTTGTAAATCTGGCTAAGGACAGACTTGAAAGGGGGTCTTCTTGCGTATAGAAGGTCAAACCTGATATCCTTTCAAGTTTTGTATGATAAAACATGCAAACAGCTAAATTTGGATAACTGCCCATTCCAATGATGAAAAACTTGATAATGTAACAAAGGTACAAAATCTTTATACAAAACATTTATCGGATATGACAGTAAGGATGGATGTAAATTTGTTAAATAGTGAAAGATAGAGAGAGAAAAAAAATAAACTTTCTTTTGATTTTTTGTAATGATTTTGCAAGAGCTGGATCATACAGAACGTTTAGTGAAGTGCTGCTGCCTTAAAAAAAAAAAAAAAAAAAAAAAGGTGATAGGTGAAATTAATAAATGCATGAGAATGGAAACTGATAATTAAATGCCTACTTTGCAATGAGACAATGTTGCTGTAGTTGGAATGGAAGATTGTGAACAGATCACATCAGCAACGATTCAAATTACATGGAGGGGGGGGAGGGAAATAAAAATTTTTTGCCTATGACTTGTACTCCCAATGCCAAGCTAAAGGGGTTTGAGTGGCCTTGTCCAACTGCTCAACTTTGGAAATCACAGTTGTATGTTTCAAATTTTGGGAGAAGTGCTTCCAGGAGTCAACTTTCAAAGACTTCAGGACTCACACACAAAAGTTCATATAGATCGCCAAGGTTCAAAATAAATTTAGAACCAAAAAAATTTGGAAATGAAATGTAATTATTAAATAATTTCTTAATGTTTAACTGAAATATCTCTCCTTGGCTGTTGCAACGCTATTAAGAGTTAGTATAAGAATTTAGATATTTACTAACTGAGGTATTTAGTAACAAATTGAATAACAAAAGAAATTCTTCTTCCTTTCAATGAGTGATCTAAAATATTTGATTTTATAAAAATGTCTTTGGTTTTGTGAACTATAAGCTGGGTGGAAAATTATCTAATTTTTAACAAGTCTGTTTATAGTTTTCCATATTGTAGAGACAAGAAGTAATGAGTAAAAAGAATTTTAATAAGTCAACACAGTCGGGACATTTTTAAAAGCCTATTTAGGCTAAAGATAGGAAACTTATTTGTTTGCTCTGTTGAAGTTTTATTGGCATTCAGAAAATCACAAGTGTAAAACACAAGCACCTGTGTGGATGTGAACTACTGGTCAAGAAAACACAGTATCTTTCAATAACACACTCAATTTATAAGTGATATGTAAATTAGGCGGGTGTGTTGTAAAAAAATAAAACTAAAATGACCTGTAACAAAACAGCACACTTAAAAGACATAGTCATCACAGAAGAATAAATATTAAACACTGTGAATGTAGGCTTGATCATTTCTCCTTGTTATACATGTGCTGCTGTGATAAAAAAACTTTCCTTTTTCAGATATTTTTTCAGTTTTGACAAATATTTTACTCTTTTTTTTTTGTAAGAATTTTTAATGAAAGACCGGCTCCATTTTCTCCACTGTAATATTGAGAATCCTATAAGAATTTATGCTCAGAACAATAGTAGAAGGTATATATAAATGATATTTGGCCAGCAAAAAGTTCTCATTATAGAGTCTCAGATAAACTTCAAACTTCCCACATAAAATGATTTTTTTTAAACTTCTCACTTCCTAAAAATTTGTTTGGTTATTATTGTTCATTTCTTTTTACAATGAAAAACCCATCATCAAATAGTATTTTTGTGTTTATCTTTTCAAAATTGACAATTTTTCAGTGTTGATATTTCCTCCTTTTATAATCAAGGCCTTGGCTGTCCTTACAAAATTGCACACATTTCTAGAAACCTTTTGAATCATGTTAATCTGGAACCTCCACCAGAACAGGTTGGCGTGAATGATGGCATCTGTTGCGATGCATAGTTCTTTATATGTTGTAGACTGAGCAGACTGTTTGCAAGCATACTGTCTCTTGATGACATACCCACATTCAAATTCCTTTCTGGAGGGTCAGACTTTCTAAATCCCAAAGGATCGTAAGGAAAGTATCGTGGTGAAGTCATTGACGAAATGTGGGGCAAAGGTGAACTTAGACTATTGGCCCCTAAACTTGAGCCATATGGATATGTGGAAGCCGTCGTGCTACTGGGGACAGGGCTACCAAACTGGTGTGGGATTGGCATGAATGCTGAAGAAACCTTCCCACAAGAACCAGTTGTATTATCTGGCTGGCGATCTGATCTTCCATACTCGTCACTGGAATGGTCTGGTTCTTGTTTGATAATGGGACGAGGAGAAACTTTATTCGAGTTATCCTGCGAATGTTTGGCCATGTGTCTGGTTAAATAAGTCTCTTGAGTGTAGGATTTTCCACATATACGACATATATGTGTTTTTAAATGTTTTGTGTCCGAGTGTTTGGGAATATGCTCCCTCAGACTGGCCTCGTCAGCATAGCACTTGTAGCAGGAGTTGCAGCGGTATGGCTTGTCGGTCATGTGAGAGCGTGAGTGGGACTGCAGGTTGGAGAGCTGTGAGAATGCCTTGCCACATCCCGGGTGTAAGCATTTATATGGTTTCTCCCCAGTATGGGTGCGGATATGTTGCTGCAGGTGCGACAGCTGTGTGAACTTACGCTCACAGATCTCACAGCGGTATGGCTTGATGCCCGAGTGGATACGCGCATGCTGAGACAAATATGATGAGTTGGCAAAGCACTTCAAACATGTGGGACACTTGTACGGCTTCGGATCCTGCTTGTGGATTTGTTGGCAGTGGATCAGCATGTCCGACTTGGTTGTAAACACCTAAGTGAGATAAAAAAAATAAAATTTACCCATTAGAGACAATTTTAGTTGTATACAAAAGGAAGAAAAAAAAAAGGAAATTAAAAAAAAGAGAGGTTGGGGTATGTGAAATAAAAGACAGGTGTCCTTGTAGTGGACACTGAAAACTGAAAACAAGTTTGACATTATTGATTGGTCTTTTTGCTTTTTATAACACTGGGTGACTTGAACATTTCCTGATCATTGTATTGTACACCTGTGGAGCAGGAAACATAAGAATGTTACAAATTGTCCCTTCTGGGACTGGTGTTCAAATTCTGTCGACTTCTGCTGCGTTATTTTCCAATGATGCCATACAAATAGTTGTACCCAAAATGTGGCAAGGCATTCCCACAGTTTTCTAGCCCTCAGCTACCCTCACACTTTCTCAACGGAAGACAACTTTTAAAGACCACACTTCAAAGCCGCATTGCTAAAATGCTGTCTGGAGGTCAGAAACGATGACAATGATGATGCTGACGTTGAAGGTAATGACAGGAACAGGTGTTACTTGTTTGAGAGAATCCAATGTTTCAATGATTTCCTTTGCTTGTTTTTATTGAAAAGACTTGTTTAACAGCACATTGCTTGCATGCTGTTTTTATTTTTATTTTTTTTATTTTTTTTTGTAGTCAGCCTTTTACTGACTACTTGAAAAGCTGAAAACAAGATATCAATGATGCATATTTGGCTTCAGTGATCAGCCAAAGCAATTTCCATGTATGGAGGAGGAGATGTTGACAAGAAAAGGTGAATATTGTTGACTCTAAGGAGAGAAATGTCCAGCTGAAACAAGTGGCTAAATACACAAACAGAAACAGCAAATGACACTTAAGTAAAGTGCACGCGTGCGCATTATAAACAAATTCAAAGATAGAAATAGCAATACATACATTCTAAGGAGCAGAAGCTCAATTTGAAAACATTAATTAAAGCTATAAACAATTATTATTCAACATCATGCATAAAGAAAAGAGGAAAAAAGCATTTACACTATCTATAATTTGTAATGGAATTTTAAGAACAGAAATTTAAAAAATAAACTTTAAAGCTAAAAATACATGACAGTTAACAGACAGCAGACATGTAATGGACTGTTAAAATATCAAAAAATAGTCATATCTAAAGATCAAATTTAAATTTTCACTAAATTGTATTTATAAATTCTTTTGATAGTTTTCAAAGAAAAATTAAGAAATGCATTTAAGGCTAAAAGCAAAGACAACTTTTTTCTTTTTTTTCTTCTCTTTTTTTGTTTGTTTCTTTTTTTTTTTTAATAGATACATGCAAACCTGTATAAAGAAAAGCATAAAAAACAAACTGAAATCCATCAAAGGACTCTCAGAATTAAATATATTGCTTGTGCACATTTTTAATACCTTTATTTGCTTGAAGTCATGGTGATATTTTTTAAATGACCTTGTGATATAAAAATGTTGCAACATTTTTAAAGCATCAAATCCCTAACCAGTTCATTAACCTAAAGGCTGATATTTTTAAAGCTTAAGGGTTCCTTAGGTCTATTACAAAATTCTTACATTTTGATTAGAGAAGGATAGCAGAAAATAGGTTAAAAACCATTTCAATTTAGAAATTGCTCTGCACAAATAATTTATTATCAGTCAAGACAGAATATGTAAATTCTTATGCAGTATTATTTTTTATATTTCAAGCAAAGCAAAGTAGAAAAAGAACAGGAAAAATAGCAATCCAGTACTAGTCATTTAAACTTTACTAATTCCTTTCAGTATTTATTATTCATATAAAAACCCACAAAATCAAAACAGAAAGATTTCAATACACGTTTAAGCTTATAAATCAGCTGAATCCTTTCACTTTCATTATTAAAAAGATAGCTAAATCCAGTTTCTAAAAGCCTCATTTTTTCTTAAACCTGGCATGTTTTAAGAAATTTTTTTAACATAGCCAAATTATATTGTATCTACTATTTATTACACAAGAAAATTTTAATTTAGAGAATGGTGAAAGTTTAATGAATGACATAAGATCCATTTCAGATTTTAATTCATAATAAAGCTACACTATAATACTTATTATTTGTGGCCATATCTAAACATGTTATTGTTATAGTTATATATAATATTATAAATCATTATATTCTTACTGGTGAAAAGTTTCTAATAAGCAGGTAGGTATCTAAATGACTTCCAGCAATACCATTTCTTCAATTTTACATAAGCAAATATTGAATCCTTTTTAAGGATTCAATATTGCATTTCAAATTCATCTTAATAAATTCACAAATGTAAACACAGTTAATACAAAGTTTCCAAAAATTGTCATATAAAAATTATCAGAACAAAATGCAGTTAGAATGGGTTGTTTGTAAAATCTTTAATTTAAATCCATTATGATAGTATATAACTGCATATGATAGCAAGTATGAGTAGTATCAAATAGTATCTAAGCGCTTTTTAGTATCTTTCTCAGGCTCTATTATATACTAGAAAATAAGGGTGTTTTGCAGACAAGATCAACCAAAGAATTGATCAGCCATTTGCACAAAAGCTTGACAAATATAGTGAGGTAATGACATCTACCCATGATGTCACTGACTTCAAAATTTAAAGTGTCTCATTAAATAGAAAATATTTGAAGTTATTTAGATTTAGGATGATTTGGAAAGGTTGTCAGAGTTACTACTTCAATGTTTCATATCAATATTATCAAATCAGAGGAAAAACAGTTAAAGTGTAAAATGAAAATATCAGATGGGTTTAATGTGGCTCAGAAAATCTTATTATTTGATCAAGTTAACTCATTGGCTTGTGTTATCAAACTGGCAATTAGTTATTTATTTGTTCAAAGTCATATTTTTCAGTTTCTGCTTTTGATTTTTGATTTTCACTAAATTAATAAGATAAAGATACAAATTGTATTATTTGAATTTTAGAATCCCAAATATTTTTCAACATTTACAGTAGCACAATTTTGAAAGACTGCCCAGCTTGTTTGAAACATTGAATTTTCAATATAAAATATAAAGTACTGAATTTTTTGAATGCGCTTTCTTTCACTGTCTGTATAATTAGTGGCTTAACAACAACTTTCAAATGTTATGTTCATCAGAAAAATGCATCTTTGATGCAAATATATCTTAAATCTTTTAATTTTAATCAGATGGAAGGGGTAAACTAATAATAGTATAGATATTTGGAATTATACTTTTTATTTGCGTGAGCAGAAACATTCATTTTTATTAAACTAAAACAAAAATTCTTTCTGATCTCTTGCCTTAGTTGCAGAAAAACAGATACAAAATATTTGTAGACTACATTCATATGTAACATTTAACAATTGAAAATAAATTTCAGTCAGTTGGAAACAATATATTGATTATAGTGAGGAGTTGAAATTCCTTTTTAAATAATGAAATTCCAGCCTGTATTTTGAGGAGTAGTAAAGGAAACTTTAAACCTCATACAATTATTTTACTTGTCTTGTAGAAAGAACAATTATATTGGGATCAAAAGTTTAGTCTTATTATTTACAAAAGTTACAGCATCAATACCATTTTAATCATTACAATTATTTTTATATTTCACTTGAAGAGTTAATGTAATGTCATAGACATAAACTCTAATACATACTAAAAGATATTTTGTTTTTCACTGCACATGATAAGTGATGTGTGTGTGTGTGTATACCTCCAAAGATTTGCTAAAAAAATGAACATACATGATGAAAAATGCCCAAAATTAAAACAAAGTTTTATTGTCAAAATTCTTATGTTATTAAGAAGAAAGACAAAATGAATTTTTGATTATTAAATTAAATTTTTTTTATCCTTTTTAGAACCTTCAACATTTTTTTTCTTGCATCAGCGGGTGACCATAAATTAGTATAGGAAATTTTACGGTCTTGTTTGGGTGAAAAACACATTGATTTGGAAATGCTTACAAAATCAAATAATTGTTGGATTTTAATGAAACTTTCAACTTATTCACAAATGAATGAAATTATTGTAGAAACGTCTTTTTTTAAAGAAAATATTGGTAAAAGACTTTTCTAACTTCTGTTACACACCACTTATTTAATTTTATGAAATTTCAAGAATTTCATTTTTGTACAGCTTAATGTTTATATTAATAATAAGCAGAAATCCTTGGAGAATTTAAATTATCAATTGTTATTTTTTTATAAAACAGGAGCCCAGTTACTGAAAATATGCTCTGAATCATAAAATAAAGAATGCAATAAAACTAAGAGGTTATTTAATTAGAAAAGCTTTTAGTTGCTCATATATTATGGACACTATTGTCTTAAGAAAAAGATTTTTTTATGAATAATGAATTGTTACAAGAATTGTTTTCATTTTTTAAAAATTTTAATTAGAATAATTCAAAAAGTTTTAAATCTTTTAAAATTCTGTATTAATTTGTGCTGGTTAGATGATATTGTTATTGAGTTAAAACCATATTTACTAATCATAAATGGAAAAGCTTACTACAATTAACTGACAACCAGTATTTTAAAAGAACAGAGCTGGCAATAGCTCATAAAAACACCCACTACCATATTTATTAATTCTTTTCTACAATGTTTTAAACTAAAAGTAAGTAATATTTGTTTCACATCAAATTGATCAAAACTTTAAATCAGCTAATCTTCCTCAAATAAAGTTCCAGAAAAGCATATTTTATTTTTGAAAGATTTTTTAATAAAGAGAATTACGTTGTGCTGTGAGAATTGTGAATATAACTAAAATCATTGATTTTTAGTGAAAAAAAAAAAAAAAATTATTCCAATCAGTTTAAATTCATTTAAAAACATAGCAAAATATTTTGCATATTGGAAATATTAAATTTAATCTATTAGCTTGAAATTAAAACTAAAATAGAAGCTTTAAGAAATATTTTTCATTTTAAACCTTAGGTATTGTGTTTTTTTGGAGGTATCTATCTATATGTATATATATGTGTGTGTGTGTGTGTGTGTGTATATACATAAATATACATATA